TTGATTTTAAATTTTTTTTTTTTTTTTTTTTTTTTTTTTGCTATTTGTCCTGTAGAATAACCACTTGTGACACTGACAACTGGAGAATTTCTCATGGATAAAAATATTATAAACAAAGCCCAAATAAACTTTGCTTCTTAAACATCACTTAGAAGTGGGCAATGTAATACGTTGAAGTGACCAAAAGCATAAGATTTGGCTCCATTTATAAAGTAATTTTTATTTGGTATTGTCACAGTAGCAATAATAAATGAAGCAGATAGATTCTAACAAGAAGCATTTAAGCTTTATTTTTTTCTTCAGAACTCTTTCCAAGACTTGTCACTTATATTTTGCTCATAATGCATATTTATTCATTTTATACGAATCTAAATTATATGCGATTTTAATGATTAGCAAACTAAATGTCGTAGTCTCCAATGTTAAAATTTTCTTCATACTTTTATATAAGCAAATATTTGGGGATAGTGGCTAAGTATTATTAAAATGTCATCATTTGTCATTTTATAGTGCTCAAAAATAATTTGTATTGATGAATTCTTCTAAAGTCTCTGCCTTAGTGTCTTAATGCTAAAAAACGTCTTTAGACCATTAACAGCACTTATTCCATATGGAAACATATTAGCTATTGTTGATAAGAATTTTCGATGATGAGTGATTTTCAGATCATGAAAGAAAAGGTTATCTAAAAACCTTTTCAAACTTGCTGAAGACCTGTTCCTTTAGTATATATCACATCACAGACACAGTTAGTTTTTTAAATTAAATATTGAGTAAAACCAGAAATCCTCTGGCCGACAGGTTCTCATTCAGGGCTTAGATTGCCATGATGTGTGGTAGCTTTACCTGGAAAGCTATGTGTATGTTACAGAGCCCGATATCCTTTCTTTATTATGTGTTACAACCCATTTTTTTCTTCCCTTCAAGGTGGTTCCGATTAGAATCCAAACAAGGAAAAAGAGCCAAAAACAGGGGTGAGATAAAGGTCAATATTCAATTTATGAGGAACAATATGACAGCAAGTATGTTTGACTTATCAATGAAGGACAAAACAAGATCTCCTTTTGCAAAATTAAAAGATAAGATGAAAGGTAGAAAAAATGATGGGACATTTTCTGACACGTCTTCTGCAATTATTCCAAGTACTCCCATTCCTGATACCAGTATTGAATTTTCAAGTGGTGAAATCCAAATGAAATCCAAACCAAAAAAGCCTTTTCTTTTGGGTCCTCAGCGACTCTCTTCAGCACATTCGATGTCTGATTTGACTGGGTCCCACGTGTCCTCTGAGAAACTGAAGTCTGGCACCATAGGTCAAACGCATCTGCTTGGACGCCAGACAGATTCCTTTGGAGCAGTTACAGAAAGTGGTAAGTGGCATTATTCTTTCTAATTGTATCCTTAGTGGTCTGACCTCCCCATTTAGTTTTTAAAGTTTAACTTTCAAAGTTAGAAAATAAAAATTGCAGTTTCTTGGTAGTATTTTCTAAATTTAGTCATTCATCAAATACTGACTTGGGTGCCTACTGTACCCAGAATTGATAAGTTTATTGAAGACAGAGCTTGTCTGCATTTCTATTTTATATTATTATATGATAATAAAATGAGTCCTAGTCTCCTTTCGTGGCCTGGGTTCTTTTTTTTTTTACTGCTCTTTCTTCTGTCTAGAAAGCCTAAAGCATAAATGAATATTCCATTTCATCATAAAGTCCCTAGAAAAGACTTTTATTTTAAGAAGTAAGAAAGTAAATTTAATGCTAAAGATGGAAAAAAAGTCTTTGAGAATTTCTGACTTTATCATGCCAAGCAGAACCTCTAGTTTTGACATAGTTTATGTGATTGTTTCTGAGCTGAGTAAATTACTAATTGTCTAGCAGTACACTAATTGTTATTAGCCTAGATTCTTCAGACTGCTATACCTTAACATTTTAAGGTTGTTTTCCTTGATTATTTTTAAGGTTAATACCTTTAAATAGCTAATTGCTCTCATTCTGAAAGCGGCAGAATGCACACAGAGTGTGTCAACTAGTGTGATGTAATGTGTCACTGATTATGTACTAACTACAAAATTGTTTGTAGGAAGTCTCAAATCTCCACACAGAAGAACATTAAGCTTTGATACTTCTAAAATGAACCAACCTGACAGCATTGTGGATGAAGGTGAATCGTCTTTCGGAAGACAAAGTGACCCATTTACAAATGTGACTGCTTCATTACCCCAAAAATTTGCAACACTGCCAAGGAAAAAAAATCCATTTGAAGAAAGCAGTGAATCATGGGACAACAGCATGAATTTATTTTCAAAATCAATTGAAGTAAGAAAAGAAAATAAAAGAGAGAAAAGGGAGAAAGTTAGCCTGTTTGAAAGAGTGACTGGAAAGAAAGATAGCAGGAGATCTGATAAACTTAACAATGGGGGATCTGATAGCCCTTGTGACTTGAAATCACCTAATGCATTTAGTGAAAATCGTCAGGATTATTTTGATTATGAGTCAACTAATCCGTTTACAGCAAAATTCAGGGCTTCAAATATAATGCCATCTTCAAGGTAAGCTTAATAGGGGAGAAGTTGTGCTATTTGGGAAAAATCTTCTACTTGAAAGTATCAAATATCCCTCTTAAAATACTTGAATATTTTAAATTCCTTTTACTTTATTTGAAAACATTTCTTATTTTTTTAATTAATTATAGAGCCAGACAACATTGCTTACATGTTTGGAATGGAACATTTTATCTTAGAAGGCTAAAAGATTCTTATTCCCTACCCTGGTCTATTTCTACTTACGTGAGCCAGAAGCTCACCAAAACTTATGGAGAAAACAGTGTAGCTTTTGATGAGATGTGGCGAGATTGAATCACCAGTGGGTGTTAATTCAAACCAGAAATTTAGAAAATGTGATTCTGGATATTTTCCAGGGATTAGTTCACATGCTATTTGGAGAGGATTTGTGGACTAGTAGCAACGCATGGGCTATTTTTTAAGAAATACTGGCGTAAGTATTAGTAGTTTTTATAATAGATGTCAACTATTCTTATTCAGTGGCTGTTTAGAACAGTTTTTATTTGTGAATGTTTATTAGAATTTAGTGACCCTCATGGGTATGATAAATACACCAAAAGAATCTGTGTGATGAATTATAGTCACAAATAATCACTGCCATGATAAAGATTTGATTTTCAGACTTTGAGTTCTCAGTTATGTATGTAATGATACTTTTCTTATTCCTTACAAGTTGGAACTATGTATATTTAAATATGATTATGGATTTTGCAGAAGTGAATAGTGGAATAACTGATTAAGGAAACCTCAAGGAAAGAATTAGATGAATTAATTGAAATCTTAAGTAATTATCATGGATGAGCATAGTAGAATGTTTGCTACATAACAGAAGTTATTCCTTGAGGCAGTAATGTATAATATACAGACCTGAATGGGAATCCTCCCTTATAGTGCCTCTATTTACCTTAGCATCTCTATCTTTGAAGCATGGAAAATAACACTTTCTTGGTAGGATTCAATGAGGATAAATGTACTTAGTACAAAGCCAGGCCTCAAATGGGGAACTTATAAACAGTAACTGCTGTTATGTTTTATGTGTTGTCATATTTTATTCAAAAATAGTACTTTGTTTTGTCCAACTATAAACAAAATTAAGTATTAACAGTCACCCTTTTAGGCTGTACTTCTCCACGTCTCTCATATATCTTCTATGATGTTAAAAAAAATGCATTTAAAATTTTCAACAAAAAGTATGCATTTCTTTTGTTTTCTTTTATCAATAAATGGGTATTTGCTGTGGTTTTAGAAAGTATCTTTTAGTTTTATTTATACACTATCCTCCAGAGAAGTACATTTTTATCATATGGTATCAATATTTTATTAAAGAGTTCATAGTTTTGATATGCTATTCTAAAATACTTTATTTTGGTATTTTACATAGTATACTTCACATATTGCATTAAATCCTAAGTTACAGGGGTAAATAGCAATATATTGGCTTTTTTCCCCTTTACTGAACTATTTTTGCAGAAGATTGTTGAAAACACCTGTCTGAGATAACTAAGAGATTGGGTAATTTAGATTATTCTAGAGTCAAAGAAAAGCAAGAAAGTGGAAATGGTAGGAAAGGAATGTTTTTAAATTATAGTAGCATATGGAAAAAAAGTATCCTTAAATTTTTAATTGTCCTATACGTGGGCTGTTTACATGGACTGCCATGAGTTTTAAAAGTGAACTTGGCATTTCAACAGATTTAGGCTTCGTTTTAAGTTACTTCAATATTAATGCTGTTTCTGTCAAAATTAAGGTTGTTTCATGATATATGTATAAAATGATTGGAAGTATATTTGTTTTAGTTTGAAGATTTTCTCTTCCTCATATTTATGAGATGCTAGATATGAGGACAGAACATTTGTAGATTCTTGGGAATTTACTCTTTTTTGTGTCCCAAGCCGTCTTTGTGGTAAATGTAAAACATTTGCAGTAAAGGGGAAGCTCTAATTAATAGCATAAAAAAGAAAGATTGAATATAAATAGACCACAGAAAAGAGTGCAGTTCACATTTTTGGCCAGCAGCTATGTCTGGAGTGGAATTTGGGAGGACATGATCAAGGTAGTATTGTCCTCACAGTGTTTTTCTGTTTATCCTTCCAGTATCATCCCTCAGTTATGTGGAACATTTAAAATTTTTCACATTAACATCCAAACCAGATGCACTTTTGAAGCTGTAGACTTACATCGTTAGGACACGTGCTGTGAGTTATTTTTGCAGTAGTCCTAAGTAGATCTATTTGCAGAGTTTCCTGGACTTTCGCGATCAGTGTTTGTGAGCATGCTGAACAAAGTTAAGGGTGAAATATATCGCTGCGGAACTGGATTTTGTTCTTTGCCAGTGAACTGGCTCACCTGTTATTGCAGATACATAGGAAACATATTATTACCCCAAGTGAATAATGTGCATGGTTACAACTGGAGAATTTTCTGTATGCCAAAAAGTTTTAAATGCACTAAGGAACACTTTCTTAGAAGTTAGAATTTTTATTTCTTAGTGTCAGTGAAGTCCATCTGAAGAAATCACTTTGGAAATTACAAAAAATGTACTGCATTTACTTTTGTTCTTGGAATAGTTCCCATAGTTTTGCATAAAAGTGTTAGAGGAATTTACTTAGGCTTTATGTTGGGTTACTTCAACAAAGAGCAGGACTCTTTGAATCACTTTCCCTGAAGTTACTAATTCACAGTGTCCTCTTGCATGACTCTGCTTCTTTGAAGCCTTTCTTACTCTTCTAGGGAGGGATAGTAGTTCCCTGTGCTGCAGCATTTTTTGTTGTTGTTTTTACATAAGTCTTGTCTTATATGGGCATAACATCATTCACTAATAGTTTAGTTTTCTCTCCCACCACTATGACCCATTTGAGGGCAGGGCCTACCTTTCATTCATCTTTGCCTTAATCTCCAGCATGATGTGTGATAGACATTAGATGTTAGAAATTTTGAATAAATGAACACAGGATAGTAGAACAGTTTCCTAAAATGTTACTTTCATTTTGTTAGTTTCCTGCTCCCAGCCCAGTTTTCTGATAGACTGAAAACATATCCATAAAGGCAAATGTGTGCATTTTTATGTACAACTAAACATGTTAAAAATCAAGTGAGATTTAAAGGATTATTAAAATTTAATATTTATAATCTGAATAGCACACTTCTGGAGTCTGTTAAAAACTTTGTTTGAGGGTAGAGTATCAGCTGTAGTAAACAACCCCAGATTCCAGTGACTTATCACAGTAAAAGTTTATTGCTCACTCTTGTCACAAAGCAATTCACCGAGATGGGGATGGGAAAAGTGGGTGCTTTGCTCCGTGAAGTCATTCAGCTCCACACAGTCTCTCAGGAACCAGCTTCTTCCTTCTTGTGATGCTGCCATTTAACACATGGCCTCCAAAATCAGTGCAGTAGGGGAAGAGGGAAGGATCACAGGCGGGACATTTTTATATGCCAGTCCTGGTAGTGGTGTGCGTTACTTCCACGTATGCCCCATTGGTCAGAGCTCAGTCATCTCCCAACCTCCGTGCAGCCATTTAAGAAATAGGGTTTAGCTTTGTACCCACAAGGAAACTGAATTGTGTTTAGTGAGTACACAGCATTGTGTGTGCTGTTGATGCCAGTCCAGATTTCTGCTAAGAAGTCTGGATGCTGTCTAACACTTGGCATGCTGCAAAACTCCTGCTGCACATATACACGAAAGTATAGTTGGAGTTCTTGTAATTTTTAGGAAAATGTTTTATCAGATTATTATTGCTATTGAGTTGTTTGTGTTTTTAAAATTGCTGATACTCTTGCTTTTTAATTGTAAATTACAGGTGACTTAACATCATGAGTATCAACTAATATGTTGTATGATTTATTCCACAATTTGTAAAATAATGCTTTGGTGTACCAGCAGTATATCATTTTCAAAAAACAACTATGCCTGGATGTTTTTAATACCATTTCAACAATTTGTTCACAAATGATTTTTAATGCATTATAAATAATTTAATAAATATGCATAATAAATTTAAAATAAGTAAAATAACTTACCAATTTTTAAACAAATTATTATTCAACACTGGGTTATTTTCCCCTGTAAAGTGGAAATGGTTGGGTATGTTCACTAAATGAACTTTTTTTTTTTTAAAACTGGGACATAGCTTAGACCCTTCAGCTAGGTGGGGACATGTGACCAAGTTGTGGTTTATTGAAGGGTTAGTGGGAGAGAAGTATACCACTTCCAGGTCTGGTTCATGAAAACCTCCTACACAGTCCTCTATAGTGCCTCTCTTTCTCCCTACCCTGAAGCAGGGATTGGCAGACTAGGCTTGTGGGCCAAATCTAGCTTGCTGCCTGTTTTTGTAAATAAAGTTTTCTTGGAACACAGCCAGCTCATTTGTTTATGGCTGTTTTTATGCTACATTGATAGAGTTTAATAATTGTGACAGAGACCATATGGCCTGCAAAGCCAAAAATATTTATTTGGCCTTTAGAGAAATAATTTGCCGACCCTTACACTAGTTGAATGGAGAGGATCTTTGAGAGGGAGAGTGATAAGGTAGGAGCACCTGGGTCCCTGAATGCAAGTGGAAGTCCACCTGACCAGGAATAAGCAACTGGACCTTGTCTCAATGATGAATCCTTAGAATATTAAGTTACTGAGATTTTTGCATGTATTTATTACAGCACTTAGCATTATTTATCCTAAGCAAGGCACATGGGCTGTAATACCTTTGTTTGGTTAAGAAGGCCCAGGTCAAAAAGTTTAACTGCTGGTTTGCAACACCAAACCCAAACTCTTCTAACTTTTAAGGCCTATTGTAGTCTAGGCTTTTCTTACTTGCCAAACTTTTCTTTTACTATTCCTTACCAATCTGTTCTAGGTAAGTTAACTTCCTTACTCTACCTCTCTACCCTGAGGTCCTTGTAAGCCAAGCCATCTCCCCATTCCTTGGCTCAGTTATTGAGTGCATTATTAACTCGTCTCTGAGTGTTGTAAGCTTATCTATACTTGATGC